CTTGGAGATTTTGCTCCAATTTTTGCCTGCCAACTCGACACACCATTTTCAACCTTTGGACGTCAGTGTGTTTCGACCCTTCAAACGTGCAATCCGCGCCCAGTTACATGCAGACATGGGCCCTTCCTTACTGACCAATGTCACCAAGCAAATTGCAGTGTGAACTACTTGCGAAGTTTGGGCTGCTTCAACAAAACCTGCAACTGTATCATCTCTAGCTTTGTGTCCACTGGACTATGTCCCCAAAGTTTGGAGGCCATCATGCACCGACTGTCAATGTTCAAACCCCAAGCTGAACGTTCACAAAGGGTGGACCTGTCCTGGCTACGTCGTGAAGAAGCTGTCCGAAAGTCCGTCCTACTTTTGCCTCCTTTGAAAAGAAAGCGTTCCGAACGGAAAACAATTACGGTAAGTGGCATGTTTATCACAGCCACCATGAACAACTTTAAGAACAAGCTGCTGCTGCAAAATTGAAGAAGACAAAAACTGTTCCTGGGAATGACGCAGCAAATTCCTTACCAACAGTCCTTCAAACTGCAGTTGTTTAAACAATCGAAAACATGCACATGAAATGTATTATTCAAGAAATTCCATGATATCTTAATTTTTGAAATTGCCGCCAATAGACTTTGCATTTTAGCCTGGGGGCCCATCCACGAAAAGTCTTGGATTCCCACAACACGAGAACACCTTTGCCCCATCACCCCGGCTTATCTCCCCGAATGCTTCATCAAGACCTAGGACGCCCAGGTGGAAAGCCAGTGCTTGGGATGATGGAGTGTTTGGCTTGGGACTGCACCCTTCCTTTCGGAGAGTTCAAGGCGAACACTTGTCTAGTTGGTGGCAAAATCAAAAATGAGGAATCAATTTCACGAAACCTGGTGGCACCATTAAATGCCTTGTCTCATTGGTGCCTCGTCCCGTGTTTCTGGAATTTCCTCAACCACTACTCCCAAAAGTGTTACCTCTTCAAAATTCATAATTCTCTGATATTTGATAGGTCTGATGAAGGTGCCGATACAAAAACGCCAATTTTGGTATACAATGACCAAGTTAAGAAGTGGCCGATCATTGGTTCTTTGTTTTTTGTCACAATTCAAAAATTCCCTCAAGCACGTAGTACTGTCTAAACTGATTTATTCGCATATCACGTTAAAGACCTTGATCTGGGCGTCACGATGATGTATATATCAGCACCAACCGAGAATATTCCATGAAGTTATACAGCGTCAAAGTTTGTCATCAAAGTCACCGATCAATCGTTTACTACGTTAACAATTGAATGTCGAAGAGAGAACATATCACTTACATTTAACATATACTACTCTAACTGGTAAAAACTGCAGGCGGTGACGAAAAGTAAAATGGTGATAAAGTTCGGATTGGGCTAAAAATTAGTGGATAGGAATTTACGAACCAAGACGATTCTCGTCATAATTTTTGCGGAATTTTATTTACACAACTGCACTTGCTACGTCGATGACAAGTCGCCATACAAAACCAAGATAAACCCGACCAATGACCAGTGCATGTCCCTTTACCAAGACCAGATTAGAGCAAGCACAAATGATGCTCCAACGCGAAATCAAGTGGAACGTGTTTGCAATGATTTTGGTGTACGTACATTCATCGACTAGGTGACGCATGTGATGCGTTTGGTCATTCACATCGAAGGTGACTACACGTACAAGATATCTCGGAGCAAGGCAACGCAGGTGGATGCTGATGCAATGGAGTTGCTGAATGCGCGGCTTGAAGAGGATCGCATGGATCAGCTTGCCGACCTAGTCAATGCGAAGTCAGTGTAAAACTTTTTAGATACAGATTCGTTGTACTTCAAATTTGTATACCCTGGAATGTTCGCCTACACTTTTTACCAATCAGAGGTAGTATGAATTTGGATTGGTTATTTGTCTTGTGGTCATTCGTGAGCGCGATCCACATATAGCGATGGGGACGGCACCAAGCAAGAAGACAATCGAAGAATCGTTCCACGGCGAGTTCACGCGGCGAACGTTTTGAAATACCAGTGACCGTGTAAGGAATTCTGCCTAACCCACAAGAATGACATGATCCCTGCCCTTTCGACCACGTCCGACTGCACGGACTTTTTCCACTTACTGTACTCCTCGGTCGCAAAACCGGAACAGTTGACACAACGAAGACTACGTTGGTTGCCTTGTTCAAGGCGCTTAACGTTGTACTGTACCAAACCCAGCACAGGTTGGGCCCCAGAAATAATTCGTCGGTCTTCAAAAGTATTGTAGCAACTTCTCGGCGCTGAAGGAAGCGTGGTAGGTATGGACTGAGCGAGGTGAGGTAAACTGTAGAATGAGATTATGATCGAGTTACAGTATGAGCTCCTAGAAACTCCACATCCGTCGTGTCATTACGATCCTTGAAGGAGCCACATCCTCGTCGGTCGCTCTTGTACTTAATATATGTATGTGACATACAATAATTCAATGATGTCAATTCTTTTTCGTAATCTGGATTCTTGTCGACGCGTAATGCATCCACGCGATATTATTCGCTGATTGCTACATTCTCCCCTAGATGTCTCGCTGTCGCTGAGATCTTTCGTGGGGGAGGTCTTGTACGAGTGCTTGAAGTGGATTACATGTTTGATGTTTTGGCGAGTTCTCATATAGCTTCGCTTTCAGGTTGTCCATACCATTTGACTTAGAACTCGAGTTGGCGGTTGAACGTTCTTTTCTTCTTGATTTTCTCAACAATGTAAAGGTTGTAGTCGGTAGCATCGTCGAGGATGATGGGTGTTGCTTTGGGAATCGGTCGTGATGCAAATTTGGGATCATTGTGCTTGTAATGCTCGAGTCGGTCTACGTTGAATATGTCATGTAATCGCGACATGGGCTTGGGAAGTTTGAGTCGCATTGCGTTATCGTTGATGACTTCGACAATTCGAATTGGGCCAATGAAAAGCGGAACCAGTTTAGGTCGCTCGGCTTCATTGAGTTGTTAAGCATGCTTGAGCGGCAAGTACAAGTGTAATTAGGTCGTGCAATGTGAATGCCACACATGATAGTTTGCGGTCATACTATTCCTTTTGTCTTGCTTGAGCCTTGAGTAAGTTATCTTGCGCCATCTTCAGGATTTCCTTACGTTTTTCTAAAAGTTTTGAGCAAAGTCGTTTCTTGGCAAGATGTTGTCTGTAACAGTATTTCGAAGAGTTCTACCGATATCGACTTGGAACGGCGTTAGTCGAGTTGATGCTTGTATAAGACCTTGGTGGGCATATTCAATGGTTGGTAAATAAGCAACCAATTCGTCTCCAAGATACAGAGACTTGGCATCGAAGAGCGTATTCTAAGGTACGGCTTGGTCTTTCGGTTGCTCCATCGGCTTGTGCTCTACCGGCTGTGGTCATCGCTTGGCGTATATTCATGATTTTCATCAATGATTTCCGAAAGTTGCTTGTAAACTTGGGGACTCGATCACTGGTAATGACACTTGGTCATCCGTAGTGTCTGACAACCTGATCAAACAACAACTTGGCAGTTTCGGGATCGTCGAACTTCGTGGTTGTTGGAATGTACTTTGCTCTTTTGATAACTTGTCTACTAGCACCAAAATTGCATCGCATGATTTCGACATAGGTAAGCCTGCAGTCGAATCTCTGAAATCGTGTGCCAATACTCTTTCGGGGTTTGAATTGGAATCTTTTTGCCATTCGCTCGCAAACTACTTGTCTTGTATCGGCTGCATGTTTCACAGGTTGCCTCGTTCAACTTTATGTCTTCCATCTTTGTATCCCAATAGTACCATTGGGCGACGTTTAGTGCAGTGCGTCGTGTTCCGGGGTGAGCTGTGATACTAGCATCATGTGCTTGGTAAATGATCTCTGCTCAAAGGTTGTCATCTTTAGGGACACAAAGCTTCCAGAGATGATCTTTTGAACGGAGAAAGTAGAGTCCGTTTTGATGATGAACTTGTCTTTTCTTGTCT